AGCTGAGGGACAGAGCCCAGGCCCAGAGTTCAGGCCCCACGACCGGACCCCAAAAAAAAAATACTAGTGCAAAAAAAAAATCTGCTCTACGACCTGGTTATCATTATCTCTGCCACATGAATACCAGCACCATTAATGTACATCGGAGACACCAGGATAGGGTGACATTTCATATAATTCCAAAATCATGACTAGGATGCTATAGAGTTTTAGAAATAAGCACTAGGAATGACAAAATATTTAAAGGCAATATGGTTAAGATGGCATAATCAGGAAAACAATTTTTGCTCTAGCCTTGCACAAAATTATAGAGATCAGACATAATTTATGCCAATGAGTTAGATATCTCTGTAAAAGTAACACAAATATCAAAACCCTTCCAAAGTGGATTGGATTATCAGAGGTTACGGCTGAGAGCCAAGTCATGGTAAGCACATCCATTAACATCATTTTATCTCCAGGGTCTTCAATGCTCAGGACAGTGTGCAAACATCTTAACTGGTGATAAGCAATTGATGAGCAGTAGGCCTCTGCTCAGTGTTTAAGATGCTCTTCCTCTTCCACTCCTTTTAGTGTCTAGAAAACTCCCAGATCTTCTTTGGTCAGTTGCTATGGGCACAACATAGTCCTCCAGTCAATAAGAAGACATTATTGATAGTCCTGGCATGCTTGTGAATACAGCTCAGGCCAGATTCCCTCACACAGTTACCAATAACTGCTTCAAACAGAGCTCACATAAGCTCTGGAATTCCTTCTAGCTCTTTAAAACATAGATTATATGCAATGTATATACTAGTCAAAACAGAAAATAGCCATTGCATCTTCAAAAAGAAAAAAAATTCATTATCTAGCTAGAGATCAGAAACATATGTTGACCATTCATAAGGAAATGGAAAGACTTGGAAAAAAGTTAAAATTATATTAAGTAAGCCAGACCCAGAGAAAAAAAGTTTGCACGTTTTCCCTTGTGTTTGATAGAAAGAACCAAAAAAGCCGGGAGCTGGTGGCTCACGCCGTAATACTAGCTACCCAAGAGGCTGAGATCTGAGGATCATGGTTCAAAGCCAGTTCAGGCAGAAAAGTCCCTGGAACTCTTTATCTACAAATAACCACCAGAAAACCGGAAGTGGTGCCGTGGTTCAACTGGTAGAGCACTCACCTTGAGCTGAAGAACTCAGGGACAGTGCATAGGCCCAGAATTCAAGCCCCATGACCAATGGGAGGGGGTGGGGGAGAGGAGAGAAAGAATCTATAAATGTATAAGTAAACACATTAGGTGATACTCAAGTGGTTACCTAACCAAAGACTAATAGATTCTATGAAAAATCTCAAATAGTATAATCTTTTAGACTAGGTCAAAGCCCAACAAAATCAGCACCAGGAAATGGATACATGCAAGAGGGGGGATTGGGGCTAAGGGGAAAAGAGTAAAGAAGGAGGAAAGAGGAGAATGTAGTCAAGAATTCATTGTGGGCTGGGAATGTGGCTTAATGGTAGAGTAATTGCCTAGCAAGCATGAAGAAGCCCTGGGTTTGATTCCTCAGTACCACTAAACAGAAAAAGCCGGAAGTGGTGCTGTGGCTCAAGTGTAGAGTGCTAGCCTTGAGCACAGAGGCTCAGGAACAATGTCCAGGCAGAACTCAAGCCTCAAGACTGGCAAAAAAAAAAAAAGATTGCAATATACCAAAAAAATTAAGAAAAGGGAAGAACGAGTATGTTGAAGGGAGTGACTCTTGATCAAAATGCATTGTATTCATAAACTGCTTTGTTAAAAGGCACCAACTTTGTCAAACTAAATAAAAAAAAAAGCAAAAGAAAAAATACCTGCTGTATGTGGTAGTACCAGAGACCCACACTCTGAGAGCTGACCCTGTATGACTATAACTTCAGTTCTAGTGCTTTTGATTCCCAGCTTAGCAACTCTCCAAATTTGCATTATGAGGGACTCTCTAAAAGCAAAGCATTCCCATTTAATTCCTGTTTACTCTCCTTGTGAAGGACTAGGAAAGGTTTTTCTTAATCCATTACATGCAAGTATGACATAGCATAAATGGCAAAAAAAAAAAAAAATCCAAGAGTCATACTAACAAAATGGGACACATCTGGATGAAAGGACAGACAAGAAATAATTTTGTTTGAAAATGAGTCGCCAGCTTTGGAGCTTCTTTCAAATAGTTGTCAAAAATGGAGGAATAAAGTGGCACTGTGGCTCAAGTGGTACAGCACTAGCCTTGAGCTGAGGGACAGTACAAGGCCCAGAGTTCAAGCCGCAAGACCAACAACAACATAAAGGAGGAGTAAAAGTAATGCTGCAAAACTGAAACCATTAACATCTAAGAATCTCCATGTAGTACTTCCCAAGCTGAGTTCAAGTATACTTGAGGGGGGAAAAAAAATCTAGTCAAGGAAAGTTTGGGAAATGTTGGGTTAAAACAGCTCTCATTTTTCAAAGTGAGGGCTTAGAAGCAAGCAAGACACAAACCACTCATTTATGAAAAGGTCAGAATTAATAAATACTTCCAGATGCCTGGTAAGAATGGCTCCAACTTGAGGGGCAGCTTAAATTAGAGCTCTGTTCAAACAAAGATGTGTTGCGGTCTACACTACATCTCAAGTGAAATGTGGACTGACGCACGGATCCAGTCCTCAGTGGTTCCTACTGAAAGTGGCTGATTTGAGTAAGCAAGTCTCCCGTCAGTGATGCCACCCGAACCAACTGAACTTTGTATATCGATTTCTAAATGACAAGGCCCTTCCTATTTTTATAGCTGGTATGTGTGTGTGTATATATATATATATATATATATATACATATGTATGTATGTATGACCAACTTTTTTTTTTTGGTCGGTTACAGGGCTTGAATTCTAGGCCTGGGCACTGTCCCTGAGCTCTTCAGCTCAAGGTGAGCACTCTACCTCTTGAGCCACAGTGCCACTTCTGGTTTTCTGGAGGTAAGAGTCTCATGGACTTTCTTGCCTGGGCTGGCTTTGAACTGCAGTCCTTAGATCTCAGCCTCCTGAGTAGCTAGGATTATAGGTGTGAACCACCGGCACCCAGCTAAGACCAACTTTTAAAATGTGTTTTTTTTTGTTGTTTTTTTCTCATACTTCCTAAGCACTAGACATGTGCTAGTTACCTCACTAAGAAAGACTTAAGGAAAGCAAAGAGAAGCTTGGTTGTACTTTTGTGGTTTAAAGGAGGAGAGGGGAGGGGAGAGGAAAGGAACACTCATCACTTCAGAGGAATTCACTGCTGTCAGAGAATGTGGACATCTCTAAATCTTCCCAATTATCTTTAGCTCACTGTTTACCGCTCTAACACATTCTGGGTGAACAAAAACAGTGAGGTACTTAAAAACCCTAAGTGCTTAGTAAACCATCTTAAGGATCTAGAAATTGAGCCTGTCACTCTGTGGTTATTGTTAATGACTATATTCCATAGTGGTACCACATCTGCTACTAAGTTTGGATAACTTAACGTGGAATTCCTGTTGGAGAGAACCTGAACAATCCTTTGGCTGCACTGGAATACACAGTAAAGAATTTTTACAGAAATGCCCCTTGACTTTTATAGTCAGGTTGAAAATAACCCAGTGAAATTATTTGCAGTTCCAATGGATACAATTTTTAAAGACTAAGATGAAATTAATTAAGCAAAAAAGGTAATTGTTTCCCTTAACCTGTGTTTTCTATAAATTAGTGTTTAAGGCTTAATGTAATTTCAAGTTTTATTGTATTTTAAACAAAGCTACTACAAAAATGTTGTGAACTACCACTGGAATATATATATGAACTGGTCATCTACTTCCTTGTGACTCTACACAGTCAGCAGGACTTGCAAAGTAACATTGTTACTTACTATATTGGTTCTCTAGAATATTTTATAAAGAGAAACTATCTCATTAATAATGGGAATGCCTGAGGTATTGTTCCGACAGAGAAGTATAAGATCTTCTATCAATTTAATTACTACTTTTGAACTTGCATCCTACAAAGGTCACCTTAAATAAATTTTCTAAATTAGAATTATTACAAAAAAAAACACCCAAACCAAAAGAAAAAAAGTGCATTCAACACACAGAACATCCCAGTTAGTACTATTGCAGTCCTGCCACTCAGTATCAAATCTTACATAATGCTTTCCTATAAAATCAATCAACTTCATGGAATAGGGTAAGTGTAACAAGACTAGTTAGTGTTCAGACTCCTTTCATACTCAGAATGAAATGTGTTCCACATACCATAATCTTATCTTGTTCACTAGATCAGCTTTGTTGAACTTTAAGTAGGTTACTGCAGGTATTTAGATACATAAAGAAATTGTAATTCAGCTGGGGTGATGACTAACACCATAAACCCAGCTACTCAAGAAAGCTAGATTTCATGTTGTATTCCATCCTGGATGAAAGTTAGCAAGATTCTATCTCAAAAAACAAAAAGAAGTGGAGGATAGTTCAAGTGGTACACAGTATGACTGCTTAGCAAATATCCAATAATACGTGCAGCAATGGACACCTAATCAAGCCCCCTCCCCCCAAAAAAAACCCAAAGCAAAATATACAACCACTATGATGCTTTATCAATTGACTATATCCATGCCAAGAACTGAGATAACAATATTAGCATTATGAAGGCCAATGATTTACTTTAGCCTGATTTATTTCTAGTCAAAAATGCCAGAAACTGGAAAACATTTTCAGTTTTCCAAACAGTATATGGGGGAGAAGGATGACTGCCCAGGATGAGCCAAACATTGAGATCTGAGGTCCTCTGCTGTTCTGTTCTTTACCCTCCATTTTTTCTCCCCTGGAAAATGTGCACCACAGTTTTAAGATAAGAAAATTTAAATGGTTTCTTCTATGGTTAATTTGGATCATATATGCTTATTTTCAACTTCTACGAATAAAGACAGACACAACATTTCCTTCATTTTTTAATAAACCATAAAATTGAAAGATTCAAAGAAAAAAAAAAGCTAAATTTAAACCAGCACTAATTTCTGGCTTTATTCTTCCTCTAGGACATTGGAGTTGGACTTACCTGGGATTACAGAAGAATAAAATAATGTTATGATGCTGGTATCACAATGAACAAGTAACATGTGTTCGATAAAATTTACTTTCCAATCTGGAAGTACAGGTCAGTAGCTCACTCAAGTCCACTGCAAGAACCTCACCCGGGTACAGCGAATGGAAAACTTGTATGGCTGCGTTCTCGTCATATGTCATCACCACTCCGCACCCCCTGGCATTCTGATCCTCTGGCCTAGTGGTGCTCACTTCAGTCTGTCAAAACATCAAGGGGAAAACCCCCAAACCCAATAGACGAATAAATTCTTTTAATGTGAACAATCATATTCAGACCAACGTCTTTTGCAAAAATACAAGTCAGTGGATTTTTTTTTTCCTTACATAACTCAAAACAGTGCTATTTTTCCCCTTGCCTTTACTAAAATCGCACTTTTTGCTTTGTTTACATCCACCGGTTTTCTTTTGTACTTGCACTTTGATTCTTCAGTGCTACCCTACATTATTATTCTGTTTGGTTGTGCTTTAGAATTCCCATTCCAGAATATTTGCTCTTTGGCTTTCTTGTTCTGGGAATAAACTTGCTGCTAATCAGTGAAAATCACAAAAGGAAAAAAGAAAGGAAAGCAATCAGAACTAGTAGGATCTCATTTGATCATTCACATAATTTTTTTGTAAGAAAAAACATTCATTTTTATTGTGGAATCTAAAACCATTATTGTATCATAGTATAATTCTTTTAGCATACTCAAATGAGTTGACATTCAATATGGACAGCAGGCTAGCTCACAAGTAATAAACTGTAATGCACAAACACATTTGACTGGGAAAATCCCCACAGCCTGTTAATAAAGTGCAGCAAACTTTCCTTTTAAGAACTCCAGTAATACCTCTGGATATTTTTGGTAAAGGTAAGGAAAAGCTACTGCAGTCAGGAACTAAGTGATGTTTAGGCTTCAAAAACTGGTTGCCAGGGGTCACAGTGAAAGATTAGACAGGGAGCCAATGAAAAACACTACCTCGGAACAAAATGGGCTTTTCCAGAAAATGCAAAATTCTTATACAGATACTTAGTATACTATGATCTGACAAGTTTACACTGATAAAACAGTAAAGACGGTTAACATTATTTATACTTTCAGTGTGTAGAGAACACAGATTTTTAAATCAACAGCAGTAAATTTGATGACAGCTCCTGAGACAAGTTGCCCTCTGCCCTCTATCCACCCATGCCAAAGATGGTAACACACAGAATAGAAAGTGATTTACTGCATGGGATTCAGAAAGTACTTGAAAAGTGGTAAAATTCTATGTTACTGAATGACAAAACAAATTTAGAGGCTTTATTTAAAAATCTCTTACTGTTCATTATCAAAGTTACAAGATTGTTTGCATACCAAGACAGACTGTAAACATAGGAAATTTTCATTAAGGAAAGATGGGTTTACTGTAATTTTATCTTTTACAAAAAATTACTATAAGGTATTGATAACCAAATTTCTCTTTTACTTTAAGTCTAATTCTCTTGGAAATTCAACCAATGTTTCCACTCTCTTGATCTAAAATTCAACCATGGTCATTTCAGGAAATACCCAGTTAATTTGTTAATCAGAAACACAAACTGAGTGGCATGTATTTCCATTTTCATCTTAGGCCGAAGGCCTCAACTTCATTATACTGTACAAGAAGACAGAAGACGGCAGTGGTCCTGTGGTGTCTGTCTTCCACATTGTAGCTGGGGTTAATGACACAGTGGAAGAGGCAGCGGTGATGCAAAGCAAGGCCAGCCCAGTCGCTTATCTCACAGGGAGTCTTCTTCTTGCTTGGCTGGCAGCAGCCAAGTGTTGTTAGGCTGCCTCTATCCAAACTTGATTTTGCAGCAAAGGGTGACATGCTCTGGTAAATCCTGGGTCAGGGAGATTCCATTCAGGCCAGGAGTTGTTCCTTCAATCTGTTGGCTGAGGGATGATGCTAATATGAAGAAAATTATCTGGGTAGCTCAGATGTTCACTGAGCCACTGCAAAGGTGTTTCCAACATTGGTTCAATTCCGTGAATCATGACTTGATTCTTCTTTTCCCCATCTATTCCAAGAAAGAAACCCCCAACAATAATCAATAGAAGTCAAAACTTTGAAGAAAAAATAGTAATCTTTTGCCTTTTGACAATCCTTCATGATTTTAAAGCTGTTTTGTCCTCTGAACAGGAAAAGCAGGCCTGGAGAAAGTTTAAATGTTGCAATATGTATCACACAAAACAGAAACCTGAGGCTTACAATGAATTCTGATAAAAAAATTCGGTTGCTATATGTGAAAGTATTTGTTCTTTCCTAATTACTGTGCTTACTGTGCTTACCAAAGACTGACGTTAATGAAACTATAGTGGCGAAAACAGCCCAGTAAACCCACGGACAAAAATTCTTTAGCTCTACAGTAAAAGCAGGTGGCCACTAGAAATGACAGGAAGATGAAAAATAATGTCCCTAGTTTTAAAATGCACAACAGAAATGTGACTAGAATTGTTAAGAACTGGGTCAGTATTTGACAAACTGGATGGGTACTTAGGCTTGTTCTCTGTAATCTCTCCAAGCCTATCTCTAAAAGTGCTGACTGCTGTTTAAAAAACTAGTACAAATCACCTACATATAAAAGAGTAAACTATGTACAGAATACCATAAATCATGTATAAACAAAAGATTAAACTATAACATGCAGGATACTATAAGTGTTGGTATCAAAATGGATAAACCCTGAGTCTTTGTAAATTCTTGATTGCCAAGGTTTTACTATATTTTTCTTGGAATATCAGAAACCATTTCACTATATAGTTCTTTCTCTTTGCATTCTTATTACAAATTTCTAATATTCTCAGAATCTTGTTCATACTTAGCACTGAGTCAAAAAATGAATGTACAGTGGTGTAAGAGTTTCTGTGTGTGAATGTCAGAGTCACCTCTGCATCCTCTGAAACGGAAATAAATGTTATAACTCATTACCCCAAACACTATTCCCAAAGCAAATGAACACGTGTGGCATAGTTCAATGATACAGTGTGTTTGCAAGACAAAAGACCAGCCCTAATTCAAGAAAGGGACAGTGGGGTTCCAGCTGTATAAAAGTTGGATAACATAAGCATTATTCACACACGGTGGCAAGTCTGTTAGATCATGGTATCAGAGCCCTGAATAGGGAGCACTGATTCTCTGGCTGGATGTTGGGACTACTTTTTAAATCTTTACCGTGGAGTTGCAGGCATGGCTCAGGTGATACGGCACTTGCTAATGAGCATAAAGTATCAGATACCAAGTTCCAGCACCAGTTTCCACATTTACTAGATGTCTACTAAGAAGTGGATATATCACTGCAGTATCCCAACAGAACAGTTCTAAGGTGTAAAATTAGCTTTTGACAGCCTACACTTATTCTGCATTTATTTTTATTTGTTTTCTGACTTTACAAAACAACATGATTGTGAGCAGAAGGATTCTTAGAATGGGACTGCATTTTTAATGGAATTGTATCTAAAGTCTTGCTCTTACTCATTGTACCCCTTACTGACTAGCATGGTACCTGACATGTGTAATCACTCACAGTATAAGCATCTAATCCAGGACAAACACTTTGCCACCAAACTATACATTCATCCCGTCCCCACTTGTGTCTTTCAAAATGTTAACCTGTGAAGATCTTTTTAAAATTAGGCAAACTAGCCAGGCGCTGGCGGCTCATGCCTTTAATCCTACCTACTCAGAGCGCTGAGATTTGAGTATTGAGGCTCGAAGCCAGCCCAGGCAGAAATGTCTCCGTGAGACTCTTATTCCAATTAACCACTCAAAAACCAGAATCGGTGGTAGAGTGCTAGCTTTGAGCACAAAGCAACACAGAACAACACTCAGGCTGTAAGTTCAAGCCCAACAACTGAGAAAAATAAATAAAATAAAATTAGGTAACTTAAGAGAAAAGTCAAATGATGTAGTTCTACATGGTATTTCATTCACACATGTCAGTTTGGGGGATAGCTTTGATTTTTATATAGCTTATTTGTGATGGTGGTGTTGCTGGTACTAGGGCTCAATCAGAGCCTGGGCACTGTCCTTTAGCATTTTTGTTCAAAGCTGGCACCCTACCTCTTGAGCCAGAGCACTTCTTCAATAATTTGATACTTAATTTAGAGATAGGGTCTCAGGTTTTCCTGCACAAACTGGCTTTGAACTGTAATCCTCAGGTTCATCATCCAGAGTAGCTAGAATTATAGTGAGCCACCAGTAGTACCTGGCTTGATATATTGCGCGTGTGCGTGCGCGTGTGTGTGTACGCACGCACGCCCGCACGCATGCGCACCTTAGTCCTGAGGTTTGAACTTGGGACCTGGGAGTAGCTAGGATTACAGGTGTGAGCCATGGGCCCAACTGTTCCCTGAGCTTTTTCTGCCCAAAGCTAGTCTTCTAACACTTTAAGCCATTATGCAATCATTATTTTTGAGATAGAATCTTGCTTTCTGTCCAGGTTTAGAGGATCATACATCACAATCCAACTATTTTAGACTGCACCTGGGATGAAGACACATGCCACCATGCTTAGCTTCTTCCTTTGAGGTAAGAATTTCACAGAGTTTTCAACCCAGGCTGGCTTGAAACAATCCTCCTGATATCAGCCTCAGAGACAGATGGGATGTAGTGGTATCCTCCACTATACTCAGCTATTGATTGAAAAGAAGTCTCATGAACTTTTTTGCCTATACTGTCCTTAATCCATGATTCTTATGATTTAAGCCTTCCAAGGAGCTACATCCAACATCCAGCTTACAGTGTGTATTTCCTTTTTCTAGTGCCAGTCCTGAGGACTGAACTCAGGGCCCTAGACACGATCCATGAACTTTTTTTTTTTTGGGGGGGTCGGCCTTGGGGTCTGAAGTTGGCCTGGGCTCTTCAGCTCAAGACCAATGCTCTACCACTTGAGCCACAGCGCCCACTACCAGCTTCTTCTGTGTATGTGGTGCTGAGGAATTGAACCCAGGGCCTCACGCATTCTAGGCAAGCACTCTACCCGTGAGCCACCTTCCCAGCCCCTCCATGAACTTTTTGTGCTCATAAGTAGTGCTCTACCACTTGAGCCACAGCACCACTTCTAACTTTTGGAGGATTCATTGGAGATAGTCTCACAGACGTTCCTGCTCGGGCTAGCTGTGAATCACAATCCTCAGATCTCAGCCTCCTAAGTAGCTAGAATTACAAGTGTGAGCCACAAGCACATGTCTGGGTAATTTCTAAACTGAAATTTATCCCCCACATTTCTTGAGGCCAACTGCTGACACAGGATGTAGGCCTGTGGTCTTCAAATTATGGAAGGTATAAGGGGCAAGACATTGAATCCACTCCTTCAGCCTTGTGTACACCAGCACAGTTACTAATAAGAAATTATAAACTATAAAAACAAATGCCTAAGCCGGGCGCTGGTGGCTCACGCCTGTAATCCTAGCTACTCAGGAGGCTGAGATCTGAGGATCTCAGTTCAAAGCCAGCCGGGGCAGGAGAGACTGTGAGACTCCTATCTCCAATAAACCACCAGAAAACCGGAAGTGGCGCTGTAGCTCAAGTGGTAGAGCGCTTGCCTTGAGCTGAAGAGCTGAGGGACGGCGCCCAGGCCCAGAGTTCAAGCCCCACGACCGACAAAAAAAAAAAAAAAAAGCCTATATAGGTATATATACAATTACCATGATGACATATAGTAGTATGCATAAGACATGAGAGAATTCTTATAATGAATACTGTAGTCAGGTATCTTCTCTTTCAGATGATTTCCTTAAATATAAGGAGGTTATCAGTATAGATGCACAATTTACAAATCTAGCTTACAATAAGAATAATATGGGAAATTCAGAAAGTCTCCAGGCTTTCTGGATCAATCTCTGGAATAGAGTTCTCTAGAGTCAGTCTTAGTACATATACTGGTACTGGCTTTATTCTTTAAAAGTTGTGTATAGCCATCAAGTATATAACACAGGAAAAGATAGAGAAGTTTTGGATGATGTTATATGGAGATTGTCTTCCAAGTCTTGATGGTTGGTTTAGAACCTATGGCTGCTTGACATACTCTGTGAGTCTCATATAAACTTCTGGTGCAAAGGACTACTAGTATTCTTCCAGCTCTGCTATATTGGCCTTTAATGAATAAACAGTAAAATATTTCTTTCAGTCACCATGACTTATTGGTTTTGAATTCTTAGGCAACTCAGTTAACTTCTGATCTCTATTCCTCACCATAGACTGTGGATACAGAATTTAAATTTCCAGGAATACAATGGGGATTAAATGGAGTATCTGCTGACACAGGGCTTGGTTTAGTACATATTTTCAATTATGTGACTAAATCTTTTCTCCATCCCTCCCAGGTGTCAAAAACAATACTTAGGAAAACAAATGAGGAAGGAAGGGAAAGTTTTTAAAAGGTCACAGCTTAATAACAAAAAGCAAAGAACCTCTCTTCTTAGGAGCAAAGGTATGAGAATTCTTTTAGTATTCAATATACCAAAAGATATAAAAAAAATCATGGATTCAATTACAGGATTGGCAAAGATTATTAAGGTTGGACGATGTTTACAAAAAAAGAAAATTAAAAACTCAATAACCATAAAAATTAAATATTTGAAAGTACTTTCAAAATAAATGTAGATAAATCATCTGCATAAACTTATTGTAATGTAAAAATTCAGTACAATACACTTCCTAAGTCAAATAAGCACTAGTATATTATGATTCTATTGTTTAAAAGACTAAGCCTTTTTTTGTTGGACGTGGGGCTTGAACTCAGGTCTGAGTGCTGTCCTTGAGCTCTTTTGGTAAAAGCTAGCAAGCAGTCTACCACTTTGACCAACAGGTCCACTTCTGGTGATTAATAGGAGATAAGGGGGCTGGGAAGGTGGCTCAGTGGTAGAGTGCTTTCCTTGCATGCATGAATCCCTGGGTTCAATTCCTCAGCACCACATAAGCAGAAAATGCCAGAAGTGGCACTGTGGCTCAAAGTAGTAGAGTGCCAGCCTTGAGCTGAAGAGCTGAGGGACAGCTCCCAGGCCCAGAGTTCAGACC